CTGAAAACAATGGAAAAAATATCCTCGGGTGAGGATTTTTAAAAAAAGAAAGAAAAAAGTAACCATCTGCATTATGTTGGATATTGAAACAGAAGATAATATATTCCAGGATGAGTCAGGGGTGCCCACAATCATAGCTAATATTCAATGCTTAATATTCAAGTGCTGGCCAATGCAATAAAATAAGAAAAAGAATTGAGACCAGATGATACTATGATCAATAGAAAATCAAAAGGCAAACACAAACAAAATGGCTATAACTGACTTAGAGATTGAAGGCAAGCCCAATATAGGTGTAACACAGGGGATTTTTAAGGCAATAAAACTATTCTTTATGATAGTATAATGGTGGACATTATGCATATGTCAAAACCTATAGAATGTACAACACAGAGTGAATTCTAATGTAAATTGTGGACTTCAGTTAATAATAATGTATCAATATTTACTCATCAATTGTTACAAATGTATCACAGGAATGAATGATGTTAATAATAGGAGAAACTGGGAGGGGGGAAGAAGGGGGTCTGTGGAAGCTCTCTGAACTTCCTGCTCACTCTTTCTGTAACCCTAAAACTGCTCTAAAAATGTATATTAATTAAAAATAAACCAAAATAGCCTAGCCAGTGTAGCTCAGCTGTTGGGCATTGACCTATGATCCAGGAGATCGAGGTTCGATTCCCAGTCAGGCCACATGCCTGGGTTGCAGGCTCGATCCCCAGTAGAGGGCATGCAGGAGGTAGCTGATCAATGACTCTCTCATTATTGATGTTTCTGTCTCTCTCTCTCCCTCTCCTTTCCTCTCTCTGAAATCAATAAAGACATATTAGAAAACAAAACAAAACAAATTACAAAAAGTGCTTGTTACCAAGTTGCTGCTCAATAAACATCAATACTTTTATATGAGTAAGCCACTTGGCACATAGTATATGATCAAGAAATGTCAACCATTTCATAATATTCTTCTGATTATAAAAATGAATCACTTTAAAAATTAAATAATACTATGGAAAAGGAAATCCTACATATATCATCCACTTTTTTTGTGCATAGAATAATGGTGCTCATCTGGGGATGATTCAAACACACCTCCCTCAAACACACACACACTGGCCATTGATACTGGAGACATTTCGGGTTATCATAACTGGGGAAGTGGAGAGTGCTATGCATCTAGTGGGTGGAGGCCAGGGATGCTTTTCAACACCCTACAATCCCATAGGATAGCCCTCACAATAGAGTATTATTCAGCCCAAAATGCCAACAGTGCCAAGGTTGAGAAATTCTGGCATTAACCTGACTTTAGGTATTGCTGAGCAACTTGCTTTTGCATCTTGTCCCTTGGAATCTTCTGCACACACCCCCCCCCCAATGATTTTTTTTAATCACCAGCCTAGTTTGCTGTCCTCTAAAAGCACTATGCCTTATATCCCAGGCTCTCGAGATGGAGAGCCTATGGATTTTTTTTCTTTTCTTTTCTTTTCTTTTCTTTTCTTTTCTTTTCTTTTCTTTTCTTTTCTTTTCTTTTCTTTTCTTTTCTTTTCTTTTCTT